ATGAGGACCAACCCTTCCACACTGCAAAATCTTGTTGTGTTTTCAATTGCTACCAGATTTTTCGTTATTACACAGTTCTTGCACAAAATGTTTGAACTAGTACAGTTATTCTGGCAGGTTCTGAATTTCACGACCGAGTGCAAATGGCTCAAGTACACTTTAAATCAAAATTTTGGTGTTCTGTATATTTCATTTTCATGTAAAACGAATTAATTTTTTCGTTTCTGGATCCCGCGATTGAATGCCCTAGCACTTATGTACATATGCTTGCAGACATCTGCAGTAGGTATGTAAATACTACTGACAAATGAGTGCGCCGGAGATCATTCTGCTGTCGGCACCCCTTTTTCAGTATACCCATCAAGTCTCATCAACTAACCAATTTGGGTAACAAAGGTAATGGTGCAGTATACTTAAGTCAGCTTTTCGACTTTAGTTGCTCCTTATTGCCCTAGATGTTGTTCCTTTATGAATTCACGCATTTATAGAAAGTGCATTCGCCTGCTGTCACCACACAAAACTTATTATCTCGATGATAGACTGGTTGTTTGCTGCATAAAAGAAATATAAAAATAGCTTGTTGTAGATGATGACAGCAAAAAAAAACAACATGCAATATAAAATCTCAACGAATTTCGTTCAGTGAACCTGTGCTTGCCCAACAATACTCTGCTTCATATGAACATAGTTTATACAGTTGAGGTAGAAATAACGCATATGAATGTGATTTGAATAGTTAATTTTTGGGTGGGGGCATAAAACGCCAATTCAATGTGCAACAAAAAGTTGGTGCAAAGAAAACTGTAATGAGTGTTCCGTACGCTATGATGCATAAGTACGCCAAAAATTGTTGAAACTTAAGGCCTGTTTGCGTAGCGCTATCTAGAAAAATTCAGTAATAATTTAACTGTTTATTTCTGGATGGCATTTTCGTACGCAAAAACTTGCAAGAAACTAGTAAAAGAGGGTAAAAAATTTCCTTCCTTGATGAGTACTGTTGTTGTTGTTGTAGCAGCATACAAATTCCCCAAAGACTTTTTGGGGAGTGTTGCTGGAGTGACAGTCCTTGGCCAGATATAAATCTGGGTCGTTCCGGTTACGTAGACCCGACTGTCGTGGGAACGATGAGTACTGTTAAAGCGATGTGTCTATAATCAACATACCAAAGTGGTCAAAAGGTCTAGGGCCCATTGTTCAATGTCTGATTAACAAAATACGGAGGGAGAAACTCCGGTTAAATACAACAACTACTTTATCGATCAGATGTTATATGAAATTTATATGGTGATAACCATACATTGAACAACGGGCCCTTAACTTAGGTGAAAATGCTTCAGTTTAAGATAGATTTTACATTTAAGGAACTTTTCTTTTTAAAGCAACAAAATAAAATCTTTATACTTAGGTATTAGTGCGTCGCGCTCAGTTATGGTTGCCACATTTTTTATAATGTACTAAAAGTGATATTTTTACGTGCATGGGTCTTTTGGTCTATCTGGCTTATACGTATAGTAAAATAATGAATCTTGGAAGTTTTAGTAACTGCACTAAAATGAAATAAAATAAGTTAAGCTTTCGTTAAAGTTACTAAAAGCCAAATAGTGAAGGGAGTTACTCAAACTCTAATGAAAATTGCTAACAATTTGTACTTTTTTACTCCGTTTTTAGGTATATGTATGTATGTAAGATACCTAACAAATTATGCATTTTAACAAAATTTTCTTGCTAAAAAATCTTTTGTTACACTACTTTATTTTATTCCTTTGAGTGTACATGTTAAATAAAAGCTTGTATTTAATTTTTTTTTACGTTATTTTATTTCCGCTAATTTTTTCTTCCTCTCAATTTTACTTTATATTTTTTTTACGCTCTCTCTGGAAGTACTCACTGGAAAAGTTATTGAATGTACCTACTGTGGACGCAAGTAAAAATTGTGATTTTTGGCAAATCTTTCTAAGAGCTCCCTAGGGACCCATAGAGAGTGTAAATAAAAGGGGCAATATTTGAATTAAAATTTGCAGCATTTTCTCTAATTTTGCAAATTTAAGGTTTGGAATTCTGATTTTTGGGTTTATGTTGTAGAATTAATCATATTTTTTTTATAAAAAATTAGGGAAAAATAAAATATTAATTTAACAGTTGCCCGTATTATGAAAATTCGCTGTTCCTAACTTTATTCGACTGACTGTATATACATATGTACATGTTTATGTATACGAACGAGCGCCACATAGAAATGTGCATCTATTTGCTGGGCGATTGTTCATATTTCTTTTTTGTTTTCATTGTACATTTCGTGGCAGAATCATGGAAGAAGTAAATATGTAATTGCTTTCCCTAACGCGCAAGAAGTGGCAAGAATTTGAGGGATTTTACCAGAAAGCGTTCCCGTACTCGGTTCTCTGGCAAAGTTGGGGGAAAAAAGGAAGAGTAAAATCGGTCGTCTCTTTGTCACAAGTTGGCCGATCTTACCCGAAGAATTTTTTGAGGTAAAATCTGGTTAAGTTCAAACCATCAGCTGTTCAAATCATTTCAAATTCGAATAAGCAAAAACCAACAGTGCATCTGCATTTACGCCTTATATATATATCCTAGCGAAGAAATATCAAGTTTTGTAAATATTTTGTTAATTTGATGGTATTTGAACTTGTATGTAAACAAAAAATGCCGTCCACGGTGTATTTGAGTTTTACCGAAAAGCGTACATTTTGGTTTTTTTCTCTTTCTCTGAGAGCAATTTTGGTTTTTGACAGTTTTACAGGTTTTATCCAGAAAAGTTAAGGAACGAAACTAATCATTAGTCGGGGCAGCGTTTCGATTAGCACGCTTGCAAAAAATAACGACTCACGACAGATTTTTCAAAATAAAATAAATTAGTTAACAAAGAAAATCTACATAGGTTCATCTACATTCTTAAAAATTAAAAAATATTAAAACAAAAATAATTATTTTTACGAACTGTTTACGCGCCAGTATGTGTATGGCATTCGCTTGCTAATATAGTTCGCCACCAGTGTAGCACACAAAGGAGTCGCCAGACTCGGCCTGCTTGAGTTTTAAAAATGGCGGTTCGTCGCTTTTCAGTTGGCAGTTTTTTCATTCTCTTATCCCTCAGAAAGGTTATTTCCATATTTGTTTAATGTCTTTCATAACTATAATACAGCTTTATATCAAATTTTCCTGCACCAACAACTCAAATGCACTTCTACGGTTTCATTGATCCCGGTAAATTATTGTATTGCAAAAAAAAAGATTTCTCTACAACTAATTAACACCCTACCACAATAGACGCCACTCGAGTTTCACTAACCAATACCGCCAAAATTATGTAAAAACTAATTAATTATCCACTATATAATCTTTGCGCACAAACCTTTTTCTTTTGTATATTTTTAGCTATCGTCGTTTTGCTGCACCTTCTAGTTTACTATACTTTTATCGCAAATAAAATGCACATTTAACTTTTCCGCTTACAATGCACTAATACACGTTCGCTTCAAAACGAAAGCACGCACAAATAACGAACGAATGATTGAAAACGTCAAACGAAATGCACCACCGCGGCGAAAAGCAACCGTGAATGGCCGCAAATAAGTACAGTTTACCGTAGCAGAGGCTCAAACCATTTGAGAAGAGTTGGTTTACAAAGTGGTGAAATGTAAAATCAATAAATCGCATGCACAATTTTAAAGGCCATGTCAGATGCAACTTTGTCCCTTCGCATGACACTTCTAACATACCAACAAAGCGTACATCCCTGGAGGTTATACAAAGGCTCTGTTATGCAAGCTCTGTATTGCACGCATAGATAGGCGTTGCTTGGCAGCGAAATACACCACACAAGCGGCTTGAAAACCCTAGCGAAATATCCCTTTGAGTCAAGTCATTTGTGTCGTGCTTGAAAGTACAGGTCATTGGCGAAAAAAGAGCCACCAGATTATTTTTGCTTTTCTTTCCTAGTTCTTCTTTTTCTAAGAACCAACGTAATTTCCTTTAAAGTGATGCCTTTTTTTGTACTTGCAGCAGAAAATATTTTTTATGAGCATGGCTCGGTTAACATATCGTAAAAGAAATCTTCAAATTTTGGAAAAGTTCGGTCAAAGGGTATTCGTGCTTAAAAAGGATCAAATTGCCCCTTAACAGCCCTATTAGCGTGTTGTCACAGTCGTCAATTGTCATAGTTCAATCGTCATTATGATGTCATCAACTGTTGTCATAGGTATGCACAGTAAATAATTACTACGTTTATACGCACGTCTTATTTGCAAATAACAATTTGCAAAATGGTAAACTTTGCCGTATAAACGCTGAGTTAATTTTTTATTTGCAAATAACTTAATCACGCAAATAAGTATTGATTAGTGGTACTATTTGCAAATAAGCGAAAGACGCCGCCATTCTTAGGTTTATTTTCATTTTCGATGGTCATCTTGTTGCCTTTTTATAATCAAGACGTTGCCATTTTTAACTTTATTTTCTTTTTCGATGGTCATATTATTGCCTTTTTATAATCAGGTACTATTAGAAAAGAATTTTTCACCGTCGAATAAACAGTGAGTTAGGTATTTGCAAATTATTTTTATTTGCAAATAGCTTACGTATAAACGTAGTAAATGAAAAGGTATAGACTAGTTTTATTTGCCAATTGCAGCGTAAGCTTGTATATAGTGAAACAGCTGTTATTTGTTTACATTTTAATTGTTCTTTTTGACCGCCACTGCAACAGACGGGATTTTTTTAAATAAAATACACCGCAGAAATGGATTATGAAACGCTGGAAGAGTGAGTAATTTTATAATAGGAAAATTAATTTCATTTTATTATGAATTATGAAGAGCAGCTGCAGTTTTGTGAAGACCAACCCGAACAGCAAACTGTTGTCCCATTCTTCTTCTTCCTGAAAATTATCTTCTAGAAAAGAAAAGAAACAAAGCTATAGTGTATTTCGCTGCTTAGTGTTTATTGCGAATGAAAATAGTACTTCAAAAAGAAGAGGAGAATGGCGACCAGAGGCGCCTTTCATAGGTTAATGTTTATGTTTATTTGAAAATAATTGTTCTGCACTATGGCCGATGAATATAAATCTTGTGATATTTGTAAAGATAAAACCAACTGTTCTAACTTTGATCTATTATGGTTCGGCGATTGGCAACAAAGCCGGGACGTTGTCGTACATTACTTTTGCTTGGTGAGTTTCTGCTCTTCTATGTGTTTCAAAAATCAAATTAATTATTTAATTTCCAGCTACTCTCTACAAATCTGCCACAAAGAGGTAAAGATTGTAGTGGCATAAATGGCTTCCTGTTGCGCGATATTCGCAAAGAAATCAATGCTGCTACTAAACGAATGTGCTGCTACTGTGGTCGCACTAGTGCCTCCATACAATGCTTTAAATGCCGTGATTATTTTCATATATTATGTGGACGTAAGAACCGTTGTCTCTTCACATTTCATAGTGATTTTCGTTCATATTGTGATGACTGCATACCGAAGACAGACCTCCGACCGGCAAAACTAAAAAGTCGGCCTTCAAGCTTCGAGCGTTGCAGCATTTGTCGCGAGCAAATGGGTCTTTACGATGAGGTATTATTCATATTCGGTAAATGCTGTAATAAAGGCTATGCGCATAATATGTGCGTACAGAAGTATGCACTGGCGGCGGGTTACTATCTACGTTGCCTTTGGTGCCGTAGCGAAGAATTCCGTCAAACCGTGCGGCTGCAGGGAGTTTTCGTTCCAGATAGAGATGCGCGTTGGGAAGTACAGAAAGGGACGTATACCGACTTGCACCGTGGACACAACACTTGTAATATGGAACCGTGTCTGTGTCCAAAAGGTCGTGACTACAATGGAGGTTGGTGCGATTAAAACAATTTTAAGAAAAAATAGTAACCCAATAAATTTTTTAGGGAAATGGTCTTTAATTCTTTGTTCTTTATGCGGCAGCGTGGGTGCTCATAATCCTAAATGTTTGTTGGGTAAGGAAAATGCAAAGGAGCCCGTGCCTGTCTTTAAATGTGCCACTTGTGCCCGCACTGAATCAACGATTGCAGAAAATCGCCAAAAAACTTTTGCTGCACCGGAAAAGGTCGGCGAAGTAATTGATAAAAGCATTTTTATGACAAAAATTTATAACGATCAAAATGAAAAAGATGCAATTAATTTCCTACCATCTTTCTCTGATGACGACGAAACTCAATCTTCCGATAGCTTTGTTACAGTGATTCCACAAAAGAATTCAGAGCTAAAATCTTCAATATCCAATTGTCCAGCACCAACTATTAATGAGCGTAATGAATTTATTTCATCGAAATCAAATAATGACATCTCTTTAGAGGTTTCCATCAATACTGAAGTCACGGGCCAGAAATTGGTTGAGACACATATATTGGTAATTGATTGTTCTGACGACGAGAGAATAGATGAAGTAAAAGAAAAGACGTCTTCACATAAGAAGACCGATACGCAGGTATTAGAAATTGAAGATGAGGAATCATCAAACAAGAGCACAGAAAAGCCGACTGAGCCGCCATTGATTGGGTCACAAGTTGTGGAAATTAATTGTTCTGATCAATATGTAAAAGGTGAGGTCAGAGGAATGCGAATTCCGCTACGACCGATTCAAGCAGTAACAGAAATTAATTTCCCCGATGACACACAAATGAAAAGCAAAGAAAAATCGGCTACACCGCAACTAGTTGCATCGCAAGTAATGGAGATTAATTGCTTTGATGAAGAAACTCGAAATATAGTACCTAAGCCGCCCATGTTACAGCCAATCATATTTGTTGATGATGAAGAAACACAAATTTTTGAAAAATCTTCCACTAATACGCCTGAAACGAAAGTTGTAAAAAAAGCATCACTCACGCAGCAGTCCAGCTCTTGCTATTTTCAACAGGATGAGACTCAGCTGTTTGATATCTGCACTCTTGATAAGCGGAACACAGATATAATAAAAGAACATTTATCCACGCATAACGAAGAACTTGGAAGTGTAGATAAAACCCCGGCTACTATTTCCACACAAAGCGTCGATCTAACAAGTGAGATAGTTTACATGCAAGAGTCAAATCCCCCGGTTGATACCATCCAATCTCCGATCGTGACTTCTTCACAATCTGAAGAAAATGATCAATGGATAACTTTCGATGTTTACAAATACGATGATGAAAAAGGTAAATGCATTGGTAGTGCCACAATGCGCATTAACTTGTGTGATAAGAGATTTGCAGGCATGACCATGGAACAAATTGAAAATAATTCTAGTAGTATACTGAGCGTTGGAGATATTATAGCTCATAGCGAAGACATTGGGGTATTTGCTGAAATCGATGCAATAATTGCAGGGTACACAAAATAGCAAGGCAATTACTATCTGCTATGAGTATCAAGGACTTTGATGACGCTATCAAAGGAATTATAATGTAAAACTGTTAAAGTATATTATGATAAATTTTAAAATAATAAATAATCTTTATTTTAATAGAATTCAGAGTTGTTGATTTTAAAGCAAGTGTGGCTTAAGATTTTGTAACGAAGCGTTTTTGCTGCCGCGGTACCGCCGGAGAGTGGCGCTCTGTTAATGTCGGTGAGTAGCGTTCTAGTCGCGCCGGTAAGTGGGGGCTTGTTCGAGATGCAATCACAACTGCAGTATTGCGCGAATTATTAAAGTACCACGTTGGGTGGGAATTTCCAGCAACGCATAATCAGTTGGGCAGTTGCAACATTGTTATAAAAATTTTCATCAATGCGGCGGTAATGCCGCTTTTATTACGTGTCTCGAACAGGCCCTAGCGCTCTGGTGATGCCGGAGAGCGGCGCTCTGCTAACACCGGTGAGTGGCGCCCTGGTCGCGCTGGTAAGGGGCGCTGTGATAACGCCGGTAAGTAGTGCTCTGTTATCGCCGGTGAGTGGCGCTCTCAGTGTTGCCAGGTCTTCGGCATGAGAAAACGTCTTATTCAAATGAATGTAAAAAAAAAAATGTTCTTATTAAACTTTTATTGTATACAAAGGTACATGTGTACGTAAGGTATATTAAAATGTCATTGCACATTTAAAATTCATTGTAAACTGGTTTGAGATCGTTAATACACATACAGCTGATTAAGTCATCACCATTTTGATCGATTTTGGCTGTTTCTCTTTTGTTTATTTAATGTTTATTATTTTTCCATAAAAGCTAATTATATAACAAACAAAAATATAAATCCACATTTCAAACATGGTGCAAAAATTATAAAAAATGTGAAAAGCTTCAGCTAGATTTTCAACTTTTTATTTCGATTTTTTAGATTTTTTTTTAATATGTAGTTTGATAACCCATTAAATTTCAGGGCAATAATGTGCAAGTTTAAATAAGCTAAATAATCGCGTTGATTTTTAATATTTTCTTTTCTTGTATACATTTGGTAAGGGGGTCGGTTGTCGAAAATGCTAAATTACGTTCTGTTAAGAAGCAATATTTCAGCCTTTTCTGCGTTCATTACATTTTTAATGAAGTCTTAAAAAAGTCGCCTACATTCAGGTCTTCCTGATTTGGCTTTTATTGTGCAATTGCAAACATTACAATACAACATCGTAACCTCAAGTGTTTACACAACCAGCCTTTAAACACGGGATCCTTAGTCCAAGAATCAAAAAAAAAAAAAAAATGCGCTTACGTTTGGTATGCATCATATTTAAGTCATCTATGCCCAAAGAATAAATATCTTTTGAAGCAGTTGCTGCAAAACACAAAACTTGTAAAGCTTTATTAAGAAAATAATTCAAAATCAGTTCTACTTACAAGATTTAGTAACAGAGAAAAATTACTGGGAAGTTAAAAAACGTAATTTTTTACGTAAAAAACGTCCAAACGTCAACAGGATACAAAAAACGTCCAAATGACGTTAAAAACTTCAACCTGGAAACGCCGGGCGCTCTGTCAACGCCGGTGAGAGGCTCTCTGGTTGGCGCCATGAACCAAAGACACAAGATCACGCGGGAAGGAAAGAATGAAAAAAGTTATTTTCTAGCTGCCGAAATCTCGACGCCATCTTTGTTGTCAGAAGTAAACAACGAAGAGAACGGAGAAAACCGCGAAATTGTTGAACGCATGAAAAATCATTTTTATTATGCAAATTCTTCTATAAATCATGCCGTTGTATTAAATTATTCTTTATCTTATGTGTACACACGTTGTCACAAGCGAAAATGAAGAAAATTGCAGTAAAAAGCCACCACCAAATTGTAAACAACGAAGAAATGTAAACAAACGGCTAATGTCAAAATCGTTCAACTTTTTTCCTAAATGCGATTCTAACGGGCTAGTCTCCTGCCCGCGTGATCTTGTCTTTTTGGTTCATGGGTTGGCGCTGTTGACGTCGCTCTGCTTACGGCGGTGAGTAGCGCCGTGGTCTCGCTTGTGGTCAGCGCTGCCGTTTTGATACAATTGTATCATTTTTGATACTTTTTTTTCTAAATTTTTGACACATAGATATTTTTTTGATCACAAATGGGGCATTTTGCAAGAATGATAGAATACAAGATTGCGCCGTCCTGGGCGTTGACATTTGTGTACCACAAGTAAACAAAGAATAGAGCGAAAAGAAGAACGAGTTGAAACTGCCAAAGCAGTTCACTTTACAGCGAAAAACGTGTTTTAATTTTGCTAAATGTGAAAATATTGCATTTTTCACCTAATCTATTAGAGAATAGTGAACATTTTAGTGCACTCCATTGCTTTACAATTGGGGCTGCTTCAGCAAACGTTTTAGTGCACTCCATTGCTTTGCAATTAAGGCTGCTGCAGAAAACTGCAGCAGCATCTCTGCGGGATTGATTAGTTAACTTGCTAATGGAAGCTGCGTGGAGCAGAAACAAAATCCTTGTGAGGAAATGCTGTTAATATAATAATAGAGAAACATTTCGGGAACGGCTTTGCCGTGCCCTATGTACACAAAATGCAGCGATTCGTCTCAGCGCTACACTTGCATCTACGCTTCTTGCATCTTGACGGCTGTCGCAATATAACACACAGCACTTCATTGAACTAGTTTTTAAGCAGTCTTCAACTAAAAAATCACTCGCAAATTGCAAATTAACACAATTTAAACTGATTTTTCACTTATAATTCAAATTTCTCTTTAGCTGATTTGTAAACAAAGGTTTATTTACAAGTTACCACAACTGTCAAAATCGGCAAAACCAAAGTAGCGGTACCACTGACGGCGCCACCTTTGTTCGCTGCACCGTGGGCATTTTGATACTTTTGGCTGGCAGAAATGAATTTTGGAAAACTATGAATAATAATACTAGTTTAAAGGCAAATATGTAACATTTTTCTTGTTATTTAAAGTCTTAACATTTTATATGTATTTATATGGAAGTTTGATTTGATAACTCTTATAAGGGAAATACAATCTGGTATTTCTTTGCACACGCCGCTGTTATAGGGCCCCTGAGCCACACAAAAACATCACTGTATCTTTTAACAAACATAATGGCTGCATTTCTTTATCATTGGATATTCGTAAGTGATTAATTTACCGCAGATAAGGTGGAACTTGAGACCCAAGGCACCATCCTATATGTATGTGACTATTCACAAGAGAGGTGATATCGCTCCTGCGGGCACCCTCTTGTAGGTAGCTGTACCACGCTACCCCCGATATCGGTTTCAGTTATCCTGGTGTGAAGAAGCCTATTTATCCATACAGATAGTTTCTTACACTTTTTTTTCTCAAGTACCCGGTCCACATAAACATGAGAGGTGTTATCAAAAGCCCCCTCAATAACGATGAAGGCACAAGCACTGTTTTAGCACACTCGAAGGCGCCTACAGTGCGGCGTTCACTCTCTAGGCATGTTGGCGCGGATGTAAAGACGACTGTTTCAGGCTGTCATCCTGATTTTATGGTCGATATTTTCTCCATTGCCTTTAGCAAGAAGGGGGTTAGACTTTCCTATTTTCGGGATTAAAATAACACGTGCCCTTTGCCACACATCGGCGATATAGGCGAGTGCTAGACTAGCCCGAAAGGTGTTAACGAGCGAGGAAGTCCTTTCCCTGCTTCAGTAACGCTGGACTGATACCATCTACTCCAGGGGACTTGTACCGGGGAATAAAAGGAGTTCCAGCTGGTTTTCAGTATGCTGGAGATGGTCCAATCCGTGGAGAAAAGAAATTACCGAAATCGTAGTGGCATCCGGGAAGTGGGTCGAGAGTAGGGCGAGTGCTCTCTCTTTTTCGTTACCTGCGCCGAACTGCTGGTCTGGTTCTTTTGTGGTCATTCGCTAGGGCTTTATGGAGCACACATATTCCTGAAGCTGCGGCGTTTAGCCTTTCTGATCTCTTTAAGGTATTTAGTTAAACTGGATTTGTACTCATCCCACTGCCCTGTACACTTTGCCATAATAAGTACTTTGTGCACCGCCTTCCTGAGCACCGAGAGCTGCCGAGAGCAATAATTGGGCTGCTTATTCCTTATTGGCTTCGTCTCAGGATAGCTGGAGTAAAATACGTCCTTTATCGAGGCCATGTCTTATTCTTCAATAAATTATAGACGTCATTAATTTCGATATGCATTTCTTCCCAGGATTTCATAGTTTCTATAATTTCTCTTTTGCCAAATCTAACCTGAGCCGTTCTCGAAATCTTTTGGTTTTGAAAAAGATTGAATTGAATGTGACAACAATGTGACTGGAGGAGAGAGGGTCTAAATATTGCATACGGTTTTCAGTTTGAATTTATATGATGTTTAATTCACTTTTTTATGGCAATAGAAGAAGAGTTTAATTGATGTGCTATAGTTAGCAAACGTACCTTAATTACATAGATACTTTACGGATGATGATTATACGGTGAAAACATCCTTCGAATCGGCAGCCTTTGAGCACAAAGAGCGCCCAAGAATTGAAGGACCAAAAGGAGCTGTGTGGATAACTGGCGTAACTTGCAAAAGACAGAGGCAATTGGGAATAACAAATGAATGATAGCAGCAATTCTAAATCTCTCAATGGAGCTACCGTTGCACTAAGATTAAATATACTACTTCCTGTAGTGCATGTGTATGTATTTATAACAAACAAACAAAAAAAAAAAACACGAAAATCCACTTCGATCATACATATGTAAATTTTAACAAGACAATCACATCTTTTGCTAATTAATGTCGCATTTCGCATTCTTAACATACATTTTTACATAATTAAAATTCATAATGAAATGCGAAATATTTTTGTATATATACTAATTAGATTCTGAACATGCAAAAGCCATGAACTTCAAGTTCTGCGACGAAGAGCCAACAGAAGGAAGGCAAAGTTGAAGTAAAGATGCGTAAGGCGAAGTGGTTGAAGCTGTAGCATACTACATAGTATGTATACATATGTACACTTAGGTCTTTTTTATGCGGTATATGCGTTCCTCAGAAAGCCGCATAAAAAAGTTCTT